AGTGAGTGTGTGAGTGAGTGAGAGAGTGTGTGTGTGTGTGTGTGAGTGTGTGTGTGTGTGTGTGTGAGTGAGTGTGTGAGTGAGTGAGTGAGTGAGTGAGTGTGTGTGCACCGTGCTAACACCATTATATTCTTTAAAGTATCCTGGAGTAACATGTAAATAATACCATGGTGACGTTAAATGATTGTGATCATGGATTATATCAAAGTACAGTAGTATTACCGTCACCGTACCATGATTTTACACATTAAATAGTCCATAAAAAGCCCTCTGGTAATTACCAGCAACATGATTCCCTAATCTTTAATATGTGTGTATTATGGAAAAAAGAGAAATTGTACTTGCTTAATGTCACTTCAGGTAAGTCAACCTTTGAAAGATACTGACTTATATTGTATCTAAGGTGGTGGTATAAAATCCTAAGTATTACAATTATTATAATAAAAAATATATATATATATTTTCTAAAGATTTGTATATTTCAGAAAGTCAAACTGGTTCAATTCAGTCTGAATTCGTGCTGTGCTGCTCATTCTGGTTTAAATGTGTCATTCCAGTCATATACACGTATACAGAGCAATGAAATGGTTTATACATGAAAACAAACCTTTTAAAGGCATGTTTCATTCATGTGAGCGAGAACAATGGATTGTGCATTTTTAAATTATTTATTTTGTATTTTTGTGTTATAAATAGTAAATATTTTTGGGTTTCTTTTTTTTTTCCTTTTTTTTATGTTACAGATCCTAAGCATGAAACAGTCATTTCAATTCAGTCTGAATTCGTGCTGTGCTGCTCATTCTGGTTTAAATGTGTCATTCCAGTCATATACACGTATACAGAGCAATGAAATGGTTTATACATGAAAACAAACCTTTTAAAGGCATGTTTCATTCATGTGAGCGAGAACAATGGATTGTGCATTTTTAAATTATTTATTTTGTATTTTTGTGTTATAAATAGTAAATATTTTTGGGTTTCTTTTTTTTTTCCTTTTTTTTATGTTACAGATCCTAAGCATGAAACAGTCATAAATTATTAATTATTCTAAATCATTTTTTAAATTTTTGTTAGGTTTTGTATATTTCAGAAGTCAAAATGGTTCAGTTTAGCCTGAATCAGCACGTGTAAAATGCACAAAAAGTTTAGTACAAAAACAGATGAGTGAGCAGGAGTATACACAGCGGGTAAAATAAGTATCGAACACGTCACCATTTTCTCAGTAAATATATTCCTAAAAGTGCTTTTGACATGAACTTTTCACCAGATGTCAGTAACAACCAAAGAAATCCATACATACAAAGAAAACAAAACAAATAAATTCAGAAATTAGGGTTAGGCTATATACCCGCTGTGTATATAGTGTATATATATATATATGTAGCAGTAGCGTGTGATGTGACGGTCTGAAGCGTGTGATGTGTGTCTCTGCTGCTGCAGGCGTGTGCTCCAGCTCAGTGGAAAAGAAGATCTATGTTGAGCTCAATGAAACGGTTCCGTGTGTCCGACTGCTGAACGCCACGCATCAGATCGGCTGCCAGTGTGAGTCCAGCTGAGCATTGATCTTCCTACATGTCAAACTGTGTGTTAGGATCGCTGTGATGTGTTTGATTTGTCTCTCAGCCTCTATGTCAGGAGATACAGGAGTCCTCCATGTGCTGGAGTCAGAATCAGATCTGGACTGGATTCTCAGCTCGGGACCGCATCCTCCGTACATAGTGATCATGGAGACGGCCTTCTTCAACAGGTGCTGTAACACCTGTGTGTGTGTGTGTGTCTGTCTCTGTGTGTCTGATCTGATGTGTTTCTCCTGCAGGTCGGTCATGATGAGGATGAAGAGCTCGTCCAGAGTGGCTGGAGTCGCTGTGATCGTCTCAAAAACAGGCCTTGCTGATAATTTCTCACCTCACACGACCTGCCCCAACCAGAACACAGGTGAGTGTGAGTGAGAGAGAGAGAGAGAGTGTGTGTGAGTGTGTGTGTGTGTGTGAGAGAGTGTGTGAGTGAGTGTGTGTGTGAGAGAGTGAGTGTGTGTGTGTGAGAGAGTGAGTGTGTGTGTGTGAGAGAGTGAGTGAATTTTTGAATTTCTTGAGGATCCTTGAAATTCCAATCAGGATCAAAACAGGAAGTAAATGTGTTACAGACATTTACAGCATTAAAAAATATAAAATATCAGTTACTGATTTGTGTGGATTCTGTTGGAAAAAATGACTGAATGCATTAAAATATGAATTTATTCTATATACAGTAATTATTATAAATTAGTTAATTATTGTATAAATTAAATATAATTATTAAAATGTATTTTCCATTTAGCATCTCATGTAAATGTACAGTATCTTGATTTAGGAGTGTTTATATAAATGCTGCGTATTATTATTATTATTTTACACCACATTATTAGATTTTTTTAACATTCTTAAATCAATAAATATATTTTTGTTACAAAAAAAAAAACTTGTTTTCTGAGAAATGTATGAAAATGAATTGAGGTTTATGCTTAAAAAGAGAAAAAATATAATAAAATAGAAAAATATTCTTGTTTTCCCTTTAAATTACGTTTATTTTCCCATTGGCAGATACTTTTGTCTGAGCATAAACTCACTTCATTTTGGTAAATTTCTAAGAAAACAAGACTTCTTATCTTACGTGTTTTTGCATCTCAAGAAAATGATTGTCTTGACTTATATATCTAATATTTAGATATTTGCACTGGAAAACAAGACCAAAACACTTGTGTTTTATGATGAACATGTGAAGAAAAGAAGGTGATGAAATGGAGACAAAATTGCGGAAAAACTAAAGAAATGGTGAGCAGTTACAACACTTTCCCACATGTATGTGAAGCTGAGTGTGTGTGATTGTGTTTCAGGTGTGTATTCTGCGAGTTACGGCTCTGATCTGGCGAACTGTAACGTGACCGTGTGGAATCCTCTGGGGAACGGACTGTCCTATGAAGACTTCGCTTTCCCTGTGTTTGCTCTGAAAGACGAGAATCAGACTCAGGTCATCCGTAAGGTGTGTGTCTCTCTCTCAGGTGTGTGTGTGTTCATCACAGTGCTGTATGACACGCGTATGTGTGTGTGTGTTTGCAGTGTTACGAGGATCATAACCTGCGTGTGAACGGAAGCACTCCTCAGTATCCGCTGTGTGCCATGCAGCTCTTCTCACACATGCATGCTGTGACCGACACCGTGACCTGCATGAGACGCACCGACCTGCAGAACCGATTCAGCATCAACCCAGGTACGGACATGGACACGGACACATGTTTGTTTTTGTGAAAAGTGGGGACATTCCATAGGCGTAATGGTTTTTTATACTGTACAGGCCGTATATTCTATTGCCCTACACCAACCCTACCCCTAATATCCTTTACTTAATATCCTAATGACTTTTGAAATAAAAGAAAAATTTATAATTGTGACCCATACAATGTATTGTTGGCTATTGCTACAAATATCCCCCAGCGACTTAACACTGCTTTTGTGCTGCAGGGTCATATTTTTCCTTAATATATACATGTATGTTTGTGTATTTATATATAATATACATAATAAATATACACAGCACACACACATATATTATATAAACATAAACTTTAATTTTGAATCGATTAATCGTTTTGCAGCCCTAATTCAATCTATTTATTTATTAACTATAGAGCATTATGTCTATCATCGTCATATTATTATAATGTGAATCAGTGTAGTTATGTAATCAGCTATTCCAATATTTTAACCTGGGTTACATATGTGTCTCTGCCTCCTTCAGAAGTCCTGTGTGACCCGTTGAGTGATTTTAACGTCTGGACATCCACTCGGCCCCTCAACAGCAGCGCCAAGGGCCACGCAGCTAACGAGAGCGTCGTCCTCGCAGCCACACGGGTGAGGAATGCACTCACGATGTTTTAGGGCTGTCAAAAAAAATATTTTAATTTCGAATATTCGTCGAATTAAAAAAAAAAATCCACATTTGAATGCAAAAACATTGCATTTGAATTTTAGGTGTGCATCAGGCAGCTTTATCAGTGGCGCACGAGATGCGATGACGATGTACGTTGCATTATAATGCTTTTTTAAGCCTATCCAGTTGAAGCCACTAGATGCGGCGCTGCTGCATTGTTCATTAAAAATATTGCGGAAAAAGAAAACATCAATACAGAGAAGATGTTGTTGTTTAAGCAACTTACTTAATTATATATGGTCTAGAAACATTATTTTAAACATTATGCACTTTTTTCAAAGATAGTCGTGTTATTTTATTGCTTTGAATAAACGTGCATTAGTAATATTTTGTTCGATGTTCCCCATTGGCTGTCAAAAAAACATTAGAATTTCGAATATTCTGCGAATTTAATTTTTGCCTACATTGTCTTTTTTTAGCCTATCCAGTTGAAGCCACTAGATGCAGCGCTGCTACGTTGTTCGTTCAACATATTGCGGAAAAAGAGAACATCAATACAGAGATGATGTTTTTTTTCCTCAAAACTGAAACCAAGCCGTTCACACAGAACGCATATTTGTCGCATTTTCTAGAGGGACATCTATCAGCGTTGCACTCGCGTCTCGCACAAGAGAGACGCATGTTTAGAAAGCCATGTAAAATTAATGCAAGTTCGACTTAAAAAACATGTCTCGAGACTTTATGCCAGTTTTTCCCCATCCCACAGCATCTCGTGTTTTTAAATGAATAAAGTACTCTTTGTGATTGGTTTTCGGTCCTTTGTATTAAACTATACATACATGGGATCAGAACGATTTTTTATGTTTTTACAGGAGTTTCTTCTGCTCATCAAGGCTGCATTTATTTGATCAAAAATACAGAAAAAAATATAATAATGTGAATTATTATTATTATGATGTAAAATAATGTTTTTCTATTTTGATATACTTTAAATTGTAATGTATTTCTGTGATGTGCAGCTGTATTTTCAGCATCATTGTCGAATTAAAAAAAAAAATCCACATTTGAATGCAAAAACATTGCATTTGAATTTTAGGTGTGCATCAGGCAGCTTTATCAGTGGCGCACGAGATGCGATGACGATGTACGTTGCATTATAATGCTTTTTTAAGCCTATCCAGTTGAAGCCACTAGATGCGGCGCTGCTGCATTGTTCATTAAAAATATTGCGGAAAAAGAAAACATCAATACAGAGAAGATGTTGTTGTTTAAGCAACTTACTTAATTATATATGGTCTAGAAACATTATTTTAAACATTATGCACTTTTTTCAAAGATAGTCGTGTTATTTTATTGCTTTGAATAAACGTGCATTAGTAATATTTTGTTCGATGTTCCCCATTGGCTGTCAAAAAAACATTAGAATTTCGAATATTCTGCGAATTTAATTTTTGCCTACATTGTCTTTTTTTAGCCTATCCAGTTGAAGCCACTAGATGCAGCGCTGCTACGTTGTTCGTTCAACATATTGCGGAAAAAGAGAACATCAATACAGAGATGATGTTTTTTTTCCTCAAAACTGAAACCAAGCCGTTCACACAGAACGCATATTTGTCGCATTTTCTAGAGGGACATCTATCAGCGTTGCACTCGCGTCTCGCACAAGAGAGACGCATGTTTAGAAAGCCATGTAAAATTAATGCAAGTTCGACTTAAAAAACATGTCTCGAGACTTTATGCCAGTTTTTCCCCATCCCACAGCATCTCGTGTTTTTAAATGAATAAAGTACTCTTTGTGATTGGTTTTCGGTCCTTTGTATTAAACTATACATACATGGGATCAGAACGATTTTTTATGTTTTTACAGGAGTTTCTTCTGCTCATCAAGGCTGCATTTATTTGATCAAAAATACAGAAAAAAATATAATAATGTGAATTATTATTATGATGTAAAATAATGTTTTTCTATTTTGATATACTTTAAACTGTAATGTATTTCTGTGATGTGCAGCTGTATTTTCAGCATCATTCCTCCAGTCTTCAGTGTCACATGATCCTTCAGAAATCAGTATAATATGCTGATTTATTATCAATGTTGAAACTGTTCTGCTGCTTCATATTTATTTTCTAATAATATACACTACAGTTCAACAGTTTGGGGTCAGTCAATTTTTATTCTTTCTTTTTTTTTTTTAAGAAATTCAAACTTTTGTTCAGCAAGGATGTGTTAAATTGATAAGAAGTGATAGCAAAGATTTATATTGTTAGAAAAGATTTATATTTTGAATAAATGCTGTTCTTTTTAACTTTTTATTCATCAAAGAATCCTGAAAAAAGTATCAGTTTCCAAAAACAATGTTTGTGCAGCACAACTGTTGATAATTCTAATAATAAATCAGCATATTAGAATGATTTCTGAAGATCATGTGATCTTTATACTGGAGTAATGATGATGGAAATTCAGCTTTGCATCACAGAAATAAATTATATTTTAAAGTATATTAAAATAGAAGCCATTGTTTTATATTGTAATAACATTTTGCAAAATTACATTTTTTTTCTGTATTTCTGATCAAATAAATGCAGCCTTGATGAGCAGAAGACACTTCTTTAAAAACATTACAAATCTTACTGATCCCAAACTTTTGACCGGCAGTGTACATGATGCTGTTTTGTTTCTAATTGTTTAAGCAGCTTAATTAATTATATATGGTTTAGAAACTTTATTTGAAACATTATGCACTTTTTTCAAAGATAGTCGTGTTATTTTATTGCTTTGAAGAAACTTTATATTATTTTACTAATATTTAGCTCGATGCGCCCTCTTGTGGCCTCAAGAGAGAAGCTAAAAGCTTTTTCCCCCTAACTGAAATTATGCCTTTTAAAAACATTACAAATCTTACTGATCCCAAACTTTTGACCGGCAGTGTACATGATGCTGTTTTGTTTCTAATTGTTTAAGCAGCTTAATTAATTATATATGGTTTAGAAACTTTATTTGAAACATTATGCACTTTTTTCAAAGATAGTCGTGTTATTTTATTGCTTTGAAGAAACTTTATATTATTTTACTAATATTTAGCTCGATGCGCCCTCTTGTGGCCTCAAGAGAGAAGCTAAAAGCTTTTTCCCCCTAACTGAAATTATGCCTTTTGAATTAGAATATTTTTTTTTTTTTTGCCATTTAGACAGCTTCAGGATGTTTAATTTAAATAACATCTGTGCTCATTCTCCAGTCCGCTAGAGGTTTCCAGCTATAAACCGAGCACTGTTCTTCTGTGTCTCAGCTCGACGGCAGGTCGTTTTTCTGGGAACAGGCTCCGGCCGCCGAAGGAACCGTGTCAGGAATCGTCACCCTATTGGCCGCCATTCAAGCCCTCTCTCCTGTCACTCAGGAAGCTCCGCCCCCTCGCAATATCTTCTTCACCTTCTTCCAAGGGGTCAGTGTGTTTATTTACACGTTTTTCTTTCATCGTTATTGGATCAGACCGCGAGAAGTGAAGACATTTTGATACAAAATTGGATTTAAAATTATGCAGATAACATTTGTAACCACTGGCTATTACACATGTAACACAATGAGGTCACATGACCTGTTTGTTTATCGCTGTGTACTGCTGCATGTAGTATATACTGAGCAGTACACTAGTGTTCATAACTTGATCACTACAGTGGAAATACTGTATGAGTAGAAGTATGCAGCAGGCATCTGTACATGTATTTCATTGCAGTTTTAAATATGTTTACAAGCTCTTTCTCTCTCATAGGAAGCCTTTGACTACATCGGCAGCTCAAAAATGGTGTATGACATGGAAAAAAACGATTTTGTTATTGACTTGAACAATGTGCACTCCATGCTGGAAATTGGGCAGGTATGAACACATCCATGTTTATTTATGTACTTTTATTGTAATATTTATTTGTATTATTATTATGGTTATTAAATTATTATTATCATTATTAGTATTATAAAAAAGCATGTCAAATAATTGATTTGATTGTTGATTTTTATTATTGTTTTTAGTTTCTTATTAGTATTAATAATTATAATAATAATAATATTACTGCTGTTATTTTGTCAATTTATTTATATTCTATTATTTTATTTTATTTTATTGTTATTATTGTTAATAATAATAAAAATAACAATATTATTATTTATATTATTTTGTTAGAATTATTATTATTATTTTATGATGATTTATATTCTATTATTAACAATTGTATTATGGTTATTATTTATATATATATATATATATATATATATATAAAAAAATTTTTTAGTTTATTTAGTTTATTACCATGGGTTGAACAAAGTGCTGTGCAAAAGGTTAAGACGTATAAAATAAATAAACAAAAATTTTAAATTATTATTATATCATAAAAAGCACTGAATGTCAAATAACAGATTTGATTTGACTGGGCATTTGGATTATCATTATCATTAGTTTTCCAGGAAACAAAAAAGCCATATGAATAGAGATTATATTTATGAGTGATAGAAAAAAGCAGTGTTTAGTAGGGCTGTGTATCACCAGCAAAGTCACGATACGATACGTATCACGATGCAGAGGCCACGATACGATACGTATCACGATGCAGATGCCACGATACGATACATATCATGTTACGGAGGCCACGATACGATATGTATCACGATGCAGAGGCCACGATACGATACATATCACGATGCCGAGGATACGATACGTATCACGATGCAGAGGCCACTATACGATACGTATCACGATGCAGAGGCCACGATACGATACATATCATGTTACGGAGGCCACGATACGATACGTATCACGATGCAGAGGCCACGATACGATACATATCACGATACGGATGCCACGATACGATGCGTATCACGGTACGGAGACCACTATACGATACGTATCACGATACGGGACTGCACTGAATTTCACCTCAGAAGAATTTAGTAAAACTGTTTATTAAACGCTGCTTACTATAGTGCCATTGCTAACTATGGGCAGAGCAGGCAGCTGAGCTCTGCATTATGAAGGGCCTCCAGAACAGTACCACAGTGCAATATAGGTAATGGCATATGTTTCATGTTTACATTGTGCACTCCCCACCAGGTACAATATTCTGATTGTCTGCATCTTGTTTTTAAGCCCATAAATAATAATGTACTTGTAATTGTAAGTTCTAAACTAATGCGCAATCTTCACTGTATCTCACGCACACACACTCAGTCACTCACACAGATCATGCTGTGCGCGCACTCAGACATTCAGGAACTAACTTTTTAGTGCTGCCCCACAGTTTTATCAACTATAAATAGCTTAATTGCTCAGGAGCTGCATTATCTTTCTCAACAAGGAGCTGGTAACATCATTGTTTCTGAAGGAATTAAAGCCACAGCTTTACTGTTAATAGAGAAACGTGGCAAAACGGTGGTAATTCATACATACACAGCCTCTCTCTCTCTCTCTCTCTCTCTCTCATATAAATGAACTCTTGATGAATTACACTTTTCTGAGAATAGAATATTAAAGTGGAGATCACTAAACTGCACGTTAACCAGTGTTTTCAGAAAGCAAGCGCGTTTATCCAGTGGAGAGAGAGCGTGTGTGCACAGGGTTGCCAGGTTGACAAAGATAAGTAGCACACTTAGCAGATATTTCCGTATTGCGCAAGTGGGAAGCTCTGTTTCGGGGGTTACGTCTCTTTATATCAGGCAACCCAGTTGTGTTCCTCTGCGGCCAGATTAAACCTTGTTGTAGCCTATATATTATGCTCTATTCATCATTTTTTAGAAACCTCGCACTTTTCTGCTCAATTTTAAACGTTGTTCTTGTATTCAAATTAAGCGTGGTCCACTGCTGCACACGTGCCACAATATCAATTCAGGGCCAGCTGTATCGATACTCGTATCGTCAGATCTCTGTGACGATGTATCGAACACAGCACTAGTGTTTAGCCTAATATTTAGCATTCATTCATTTGTTTCCCACTGAAGTTACATGTAGATGGGTTTTGCCTGTGTCAGATGTCTTTTGTTATGTGTCTGCAGTCTGGGTGTAGTTCATTCGGTTGTAGTGTGTTTGAGATGCTGCATGTCAGTAACATGTTTGCTGTGTGTTTATAGGTCGGCCTGCGCAGTGGGCAGAGCCTCTGGATGCACTCTGACCCCGTATCCCGCAAGAACGACAGTGTGAATGAGGAGGTGAGTGAGGAGGAGGAGAGGAAACACTCCCTTTCTTCTCTCATCCATTATCTCTCTCTCTCCTCTCATGCATTATCTCTCTCGCCCTCTCTCTCTCTCAGGTGTTGGATCTGATGAGGAGAATGCAGTCTGCTGCTGCTGGTCTGAATGTCTCGTTGGGTCATCCGTTGTTCACGCAGCCGCTGCCGCCCTCGTCTCTCCAGCGGTTCCTGCGAGCCAGACCGATCCCCGGCCTCGTGCTGGCAGACCATCAGACATTGTTCAACAACAGGTCTCCGTTCACAGTTCATCTGCCTTTTAGTTCTTAACATACAAAGTTAATCGTAATCGAGCGGATCATGACGGAGTCTTGATTCTTTGCATGATCTTCAGGAACTATAATAATGATAATCATGACTAATTCTGACCAAGATCCGTCACTTCATTTTCTGACGTTATTGTTAGGTGTTAGTAAATCTGAAATTGTATATAACTTTGAGGACAAACGTAAAATACTTTAGTCGATGTGCTGAACTTCTAGCTGTTTCTGCTGTATTTTGTTTATTATTGTTTAATTATTATACATGCACTGTAAACATTTTCACCTAATTCAACTTAAAAACTTAAGTTCAGTAGTTGCCTTACATTAAGTATAATCGAATGGGCAGTTTATTCAAGTTATTTCAACTTAAGTTATATTAAACTGACTTAATATTGGTTAAATTAATTTGATGAGTTTAAGTCGTGGAGAAACATATGATGGCAGGACTTATTGAAACACAGAATATTTGTAGCCAGCATGTAATTTTTTGTAGGACTTCATTGACTATAAAGCATATTTTATTGTAAAAACTTGCTTTAAGTGATATTAGGCAACCGGGTTTTTTTTCCTGGGAAATTTTGGATTTTTAATCAGATATCAAGCTAAAATAGCTCATATAATTGCTCTAATTTCTATACTGTTGTACATAAAATATTATTGAATTACTTTATGTAGTTTTCATTATTTATTGAAGAATTTTTGCTGTTGTGGCTATTTTAATAAATTGTCATTTTATTTAATGTGCCATGAAAATAGCATCTCCTGGTGATATAGTATTATAAATAATATAATAAATATATAAATAAATGAAGAAACAGTCCTACAAATGAGCTTTCAGAAATAAAAATATTCTATTTAAAATGAACCACAGAATACAAAAAGGTGATTTAAATTTTCCTTCCTTTCTTTCTTTGCTAAATTAAATTAAATTTAAATTTGACTTAATTAATTAATAAATAAATAAATAGAAATGGAAAAAAATATGGAATATTTTAATTATTAATAATTTAATAATATTTAAATGTATTTGTCCCATTGCAAAACTATTTAAAATGAACTACTAAGGACAAAAAGGTGATTTAAATGATTTTTCCATATATGCTGACACATTTTAGCCTATTAATCTTGATATTGATTTTAAAAAGTCCATGGACATGCCATATATCAACTACCTTTTTAAGGTTTTATATCATGAAGTGTCGAATCCAGCGTCTAGTTCTTCCTTATTGTAGCTGTTTTCTAACACGTGTAAAGCCTTTCTGTTCAGAGAAGCTCTTGTCATGTGTGTCTGAAGCCACATGTTGTGTGTTTTCTGTCATCTGCACCTGACACAGATACTACGAGAGCATGTACGATGACGCAGAGAACCTGAACGTCACTTATCCGCCCGACCTAAATCCAGACGAGCAGCTGGTGTACGAGACGGACGCGGCCAAGGTGTGTAGCTCTTGCGGATGTGTTCACTGTGGTTGAGTCGGCGTCAGTGCTTTTGAACTCGTCTCAGCTCTTCTCTCTGTGTGTTTTTGCATCTGCACTCACTCAGTCTCTGGCAGAAGTGGCCACACTCGTCGCTCGCTCACTTTACTTACAGGCAGGAGGAGAGGAGAAGAGCCTGAGCAACATCACCGCTGACCCCAAGATCGTGAGTCACGTGACCAACACACACACACGCACACACTCACGCACTCACACGCGCACACACACACACACACACTCAGTAACGCACTCACGCTCACTCACACACACACACACACACACACACACACACACACATTCACTCACACACGCACACTCTCTCTCACACACTCTCTCTCACACACTCTCTCTCACACACACTCTTACGCACACACACTCACGCACACACACGCACACACACTTGCTCACGCACACACACTCGCACACTCACTCGCACACTCACTCACACTCGCACACTCACTCACACACACTCACTCACGCACACACACTCACTCACACTCACTCACTCACTCACACACGCACACTCACTCACTCACTCACACACGCGCACTCACACACGCGCACTCACTCACACACGCACACACACTCACTCACACTCACTCACTCACACACACTCACTCACGCACACACACTCGCACACTCACACACACTCACACACGCACATTCACTCACACTCACACACTCACTCACACACACTCACTCACGCACATTCACTCACACACGCACACTCTCACTCACACTCACTCACACACACTCACACACGCACACTCACTCACTCACTCACACACACACTCACTCACTCACACACGCACACGCTCACTCACACATGCACACGCTCACTCACACATGCACACTCTCCCTCACTCACACTCACTCACACACGCACACTCTCCCTCACTCACTCACACTCACTCACTCACTCACACACTCACACTCACGCACACACACTCACTCGCGCACACTCACTCACACACGCTCACTCACTCACACACGCTCACTCACTCACACACGCTCACTCACTCACACACGCTCACTCACTCACACACGCTCACTCACTCACACACGCTCACTCACTCACACACGCTCACTCACTCACACACGCTCACTCACTCACACACGCTCACTCACTCACACACGCTCACTCACTCACACACGCTCACTCACTCACACACGCACACTCTCCCTCACTCACTCACACTCACTCACTCACTCACACACTCACACTCACGCACACACACTCACTCACGCACACTCACTCACACACGCACACGCACATTCACTCACACACGCATATTCACTCACATTCACTCACGCTCACTCACACACTCTCACTCACACTCACTCACACACGCACACTCACTCACTCACACACGCACACTCTCACTGACTCACTCACACTCGCACACTCACTCACGCACGCACGCAAACTCACTCACACACGCACACTCACTCACACACTCACACACGCACATTCACTCACACACGCACACTCTCACTCACACACGCACACTGTCACTCACTCACACGCACGCACGCACACTCACTCACACACGCACACTCACTCACTCACTCACGCACACTCACTCACTCACACACGCACACTCTCACTGACTCACTCACACTCGCACACTCACTCACGCACGCACGCACACTCACTCACACACGCACACTCACTCACTCACTCACGCACACTCACTCACTCACACACGCACACTCTCACTGACTCACTCACACTCGCACACTCACTCACGCACGCACGCACACTCACTCACACACGCACACTCACTCACTCACACACGCACACTCACTCACACACTCACACACGCACATTCACTCACACACGCACACTCTCACTCACACACGCACACTGTCACTCACTCACACTCACGCACGCACGCACACTCACTCACGCATGCACACACACGCACATTCACTCACACACGCACACTGTCACTCACTCACACGCACGCACGCACACTCACTCACACACGCATGTTCACTCACACACGCACGCTCACTCACACACGCACACTCACTCACTCACGCGCACACACACACACACACACACGCACACACAGTCACATGATCACACGTGACTCATTCTGTTCAGCTGAACGAAATCTCTCTCTCTCTCTCTGTTTCGAGTATTTGTGGACATGATTGTGTTTACATACATCATTGCTAAAGCAATATCTGCTCTCATATGAATATACACTGAACAAAATTATAAATGCAACACTTTTGTTTTTTCCCCCATTTGTCATGAGCTGAACTCAAAGATCTAAGACTTTTTCTATGTACACAAAATGCCTATTTCTCTCAAATATTGTTCACAAATCTGTCTAAATCTGTGTTAGTGAGCACTTCTCCTTTGCCGAGGTAATCCATCCACCTCACAGGTGTGGCATATCAAGATGCTGATTAGACAGCATGATTATTGCACAGGTGTGCCTTAGGCTGGCCACAATAAAAGGCCACTCTAAAATGTGCAGTTTTACTGTAACAGCATGATTATTGCACAGGGGTGCCTTAGGCTGGCCAATATATATATATATATATATATGAGAGCAGATATTGCTTTAGCAATATTGTATGCAAACACAATCATGTCCTATATATATATATATATATCACTCACACACGCACACTCTCCCTCACTCACTCACACTCACTCACACACACACACTCACTCACATTCACACACACTCACACACACACACACACACACACAC